CTGGGTGTCAGTTGTTTAGGGCACCTTTCGATTCCTCAGATATTTAGGGCATCAAGAGAATGGGAAAATCTAGCAGCTAGAAGATCCCTCAGAACATTGAGGAATCCTTCTGGATCCATTAGTCTCTGAGGACAGAATAGTTCAATGGGTCTACACCCCTACACAGATGAGGATTTCAGCACATCTAAAACCTGTCAAGTAGTGTCCGTGACAATAGGATTCTTTCCACCCATCCTAGGCCATAATCCTAACCAGGAAAAAAATGATCAAGAGTATGGCTGCTACAGATATCAATTGGATAGGTCTATATTTGCTATGGAAGCCATCAAAATATGGAACCGACTCTGATAAGAATACCTAAAGTCTTCCAACACAATAAGTTTATAGCAGATCAACACCGCCTCCAAAACCATGTCAATCAGCTCAAGAAGCATAATAGTTGGGCTTTAGGGTGAGTGGCACACCAACAATATCCCAATTCTATTTCATTGCCCAATTGCAAGAGGTATACACTTAGACCTTGGAGATTGTCAATCAGAATACCTCAACAGAGGAATAGACTTGGAATAGAGAATTGTCATTCCTCCTCCCAGTTGATCTTGCCATCTGCTGCCCCCGCCTCATATGCCTATTTATTCACTGCCATGCAATGGCACAACAAGCTGGAAGTCTTATTGCATAACCTATTTACATTACACATGTACAGTAATGCAGTAATAGGCCAAATGTGGATGGAGGACTGGCCCAAGGACTCAGCATCCTGTTCCAGGATAATGACTTAGACCTGTCTTGACTGAAACATCTATCTGGTGAGACAATTGGTGAGACAATTGGATCAGCTGGAAACAGAGCTCGCCCTACCATTAAGCAAAATGAGACAATCATCTCAAGTGGCACATGCTGGGAAGAGAAGAAAAACCAGGCTTCCGTGAAGTTTTGTCCAAGGCTTCTCTTCAAAGCTAGACTGCAGTCTTCAGGTCCTATGGAGAATGTTGTCTTAGAACCAGTATTGAAGAAGGAGCCGATTCGTCAATCTAGTCTTCTTTTGTACATGGAATTAGGGAGGACAGCCACTTGTTTTTTGTCACTGGCAGCAAAATATCCCGAGCAAGTCCTGCCTTGCAATCCTGAATCTGATCAGCTGGAAGAAAATGACACTGAGGATAACAAATAAGGTAATTTTAGATTTTGGCAGAGGGGCAACAGAAATAACAACAAGGGTATGTCAGCTATCTGTCCACCTCATACTGAATTATCACTTTGTTCTAACCCATTAATTCTGGCTCAGTATTAATTAACTCCAAAATACCTCATTTCTCAGATTGTCTTTCTTACACTCATCTGGCTTGTGTGTTTAGGGCTTGGAAGAAGTAACTTTTGGACTCCCATAATCCCCCAACTATGGGAGTTAGGGAATGCTTGGTTCTCAGTTGTGGTCTTCCCAAAAACAGGGAGAATCTACATGATAGTTTTCAAAACATTATTTGAAGGTCTAATTGGCTAATTTATTTGAGAAGTCCTTATGTCCATGTGCATTACCTGTCCTCTATCCCAAAAGATTTCTGAAGATGTTTTCTATGGGTTGAATCCAGAGGAGAAGGAATGTCTGGAGTACTTTCTGCAAACAATCAACACCGTCGATGGGGATATCTTAAAAGACAATGATGAAGAGAGTCATGAAGAAATGTCAGAATCTCTAGGTGAGAGATACCGTAATAGCACCTGTTTGGGGGTTTTGTGGGAACCTTCTTGTAACCAACTCTTTTGTATCTCATATTCAAGTAGCACCCAATAGCTATTTTCAATCAGTATTACATGACTAGTAGTAGCAGTAACAGTAGCAATAGCAATAATAATACAAGCCAGTAAAAGTGGTCCCAGTGGGTGCAGTGCGTAAAGACCTTAAACACAATTGGCTCTGACAAAATTACTATCTGTCAGCTGTAAAAGGCCACCCTATTGGGATCTGTATGCATTATTCACTGATACATCACACAGTCTTAGACACTTAGGAAGTGTCTAACGTGTGATCCAATACAACAGCCAACAGAGTGACCTTGTTTGCTGTGTACTAATCTTTTTGTGTTTATAATAATAATAATAATAATAATAATAATAATAATAATAATAATAATAATGATAATAATAATAATGGTTATACATTTTATTTGTTGCCCACCTCTCCTTCGCGGCCTGAGCAAGGGTACAACACAGCCAAAATACATAGTACAAAGATTAAAACATTATACCAATCAAATGCAAATATAAAATTCATAGTTCAAAATTGACTGGGTAGACATACCAAAAGAGATAGAGCTTCACTTCTGCTTTAAATTCTTTCAGTTCTTTTATCTGTCAGATCTCTTCTGGCAAGTCATTTCATAGTCCCGGATCTACTGATGAAAGGTCTCTCTGCAATATTTATTGTCGCCTATATTTGACTCTCAAACTTTGTGCCTCCAGATATTGGGCATTTCAGCTCCCAGAATTCTTAACTATTGGCCCTGCTGGTTATGACTTCTGAGAATTTAAGTCTAAAACATCAGAAGGACCAAAATTTGAGAACTACAGTTCATGGCCCCTTTGCCCTTAGTTCACCAATTTTCTCCAAGCAAATTGATTTTTCAAATGCATTATTTTGTGATCTTTCATCCCTAACACATAAAATTATAGGAGGGCACAGCTTCATAAAGTTATGTTTTGGAAGATACAGTTCCCAGGTTCCCCAGCCAGTCCGGCCAGTCTTACCTGTCTATTATTCCATCTTCTTTCCTCTTGCTTTTCCCTCATACATACAAGGTGTTTGGCTGGTTATTTTAAATTAATATGTGAAAGTCAATTATCACCACCTGTCTGACCTGTTTTTGTTTTTTGTTTTGTTTTTATTGTTCTCTTGCTTTCACATTTGTTGAAAGAAATGTTGTTGTAACAATATTAGTATTGCTGCAACCAATTCAGGTGCCATTCAACATGTGACGTGGGCCATGTCTACATTACCATATAATGCAATTTGAAATTGCATTGTATGGACAGTGTAGACTCATAAGATGCAGTTTAACTGCATTGAGTTGCATTATACAATCTACACTCACCATATAATGCAGTTTCTGTTGGGAGAGGGGGCGTATTAGCAAAAGACCCTCCTCATAAATGTACAGCAGAGTAACTTATTAGCAGCAGCGTGACACAGCATGAGTAGGCAAAAGTGATTAAAAAAACCCCCCAAAAAACACAGGCCAATGTTATCTCTTCCATAGGATGCTTTTTCTTTGTAGTAAAATAATATGGTTGCACTATTTACAATAACAAGGTTTCCATAATACAACGTTCTTTGTACTTCCTTCTTTGCTTCCACACTAGGCTTCTTTCTCATGCAGATAAACAGCTTTGGTCTCACAGAGCCTTTTGTCATACTGACCTTACACAGGAGCTTCATCCAGTAGCTCTTTACACACAGCAGCCTTCACACTGGAACTTCAAACACAAGGCCTTCTCACACTGAGGCCTCTCTCACACCGAGGCAAACTAACACTGAGGCCTTCTTATACTGAGGCCTACTAACCCATGGAGGCTTCCCTAACACTGAGGCTTTTTTATATACTGAGGGCTTCTAACACGCAGGGCTCTCTCAGACTGAGGCCTTTCTCCCACTGAGGCCTTCTCACACTGAGAGCTCTCTCAGGCTGAGGCTATTAAGCTACAGGCACACCCTTGTTTATACTGAACTGCAGCTTTTGCTGAGTCATTGCATCAATTTAATTCTTTTAGTGCTTGACTCACTTTCTTGTAATCAAAAATACCTATTTTTTTAATATTTCTAACAATTTCAAACTGCATTATATGGCAGTATAGATGAGTTCATAGTTCACAGACAATTACAGCCTCATCAGGAGAATTGCCCTTCTTGGTTTCTTGCTGCATACTTTTTCCTAACTAACAATTCTGGCCAATGCTTGTTGTGTTTCTCTGCAGGTTCTGAGGACCAAGTCGAACATGCAGTTGACTCCAGGATACAAGAAAGTATGCCTCTTGAGGCTGCCCCAGCAAAACCTGTTTCTCCTCACCCAGAAGTCTCTGCAACTAAAACAATCAAGCCCCCTTCAGAGGACTGTGGTGATATAACCCTGAGGATCAGGAGCAATTGTCCTAAAATCATGGGACCTCACAGATTAGCAGATCCTCATCCTGTAAACCTCAGAAAGTTTGACACAATCATGAGATCAGGTGTCAATGTCCAAGAGCTCCGTTCTCGCTTCTTACTTCAACTTGACGGGTCTGCAGGCGCGGACAGGGAAACAACAGATATCTCTAAGGATGGAGGTTTGCAGAAATTGAACATCCTACAGAGAAACAAAAGTGTTCCAACTACAAAGAGCCCACAAGAGTCCAGCACTTGTCAGCAAACCCAGATTTTACCTGCTGAAAAAATGGTCCACGAGGTAACAGAAAGTACCACTAGTACAGCTGAAAAGCCTTTCTAACAACTGCTACTCCAAAAGCAGGCACTTTCTCCCCCAGAAGTTTGCTTTTGTATTGTACCCTCATTTCTTTTTTTGGATTGTGCTTTTATTACAGACTATGCTGACAATTTTGTCTTTTCAATATATAAATTACTCCATGCGTCCTCCTAGCTATATTGCACAATATAAATGCTTTTTCTAATAATAAAAGAGGCATGTGTCTGGCTAGCTGTGCACATCTTGGCTGCAAGACCATGAAACATAGCCCCCCTTCTACATTGCCATATAGTGCAGTTTCAAACTGCATTAGATGGTCAGTGTTGACTCATATAATGCAATTTAACTACACTGAACTGCATTATATGGCAGTGTAGATGGGGCCACAAACCCTTGTAAATCGGCATGTATACTAGACCAACCCTATGCATCTATATCATGGGTTTGTTAGTTTTGGTTAGTTGATGTTTCCATAGTTTTCAATATCATCTTCCACCTCTAATTCACAGCTGCTGTTTAAAGGGGAAAGCTGTACACAAACCTGCCTGAAAGCTCTAAAAAGAAAAGTCCGGTTTAAGTTGTCAAAGGCTTTTTCTACATCTAAAAACTCCTAAATCCTTCATTTGGAAACTGCTAGTTCATCTGGCAGTAAATAATGCGTAGTGCTAAGAAAATATAAATGTATCTTATGTAAAATAAAGGAATTGCTTCTAGATGCCACAAATTGTTTTCTTTAGGATAATTTTTATTTCCACTTAGTACCAAACCAATCAGTAGTTACCATATATGTTTGTTTCAACGAGGACCAGCTTCTCAGAAGTTAATCACAAAGGGTTCTGATGGTGGTTCTATTAGTACTGGATTCGACAGTGTTATCCAGTGTCATCCAGAACATCAAACAAGACACAGATAAGCCATGCCCATCAGTAAATCTTGGTTCATTGTACATATGTTTAGAGAAGGGTACTACAGCTTTAGGTATCCATATTCTACTCTGCCTCTCCTGAATCCTGAGACTGAACACATGAATGTACATGTGTACACATATGCATACATAACATGTGTGAATTTCTGTCTAGTGGTAGCAGAAGCAGATCCTGACAAGATCTCAGACTGACCAAAGCTTTGGCTGCCCTCCAACACGTAAACTGTATGTAAGAAATTGTTGTATTCCATTTTGCTGAAATACAATTCTTATTTAAAAGGTAGCATAGCAATTTAACCCAGACCAGAGTGTCCTAAATCATTTTCTTCTGTTTGTGGTGGTATTAAATCCAGAATGATTATGTCTAAGGATTCTGTTTTTGTTCCTTTATTAAGATTGTATTTGGCTCAAGCAATTGTCTAGCATTAATGAGCCCTTGTGGAGCCAATAGCAGAAATAAATGTTCTTGTCTGATTGTTTTGTTTCGATATTCTAGTATAAACACACACCCATTAGCTTTGCCTAATAAGGGTTATCACATTTGTCTTTATAAGGAAGCTATCTGATGCAATTAGTTTAGAGACAGAGTAGAATAACAGCAAACTGCACAATATCGTCAGTGCACAAACATATAATGCGTTTACATCCATATATGGCCTCTCGCTATACTGCCATATAATGCAAAGTTCCAAGCTACATTATATGGCAGTGTAGATCCTGTGTATATAATGCCTCCTATGTGAGGCATCTGCTGACGGCATCTGTTAAAGAATATCAGTGCATCTACTTAGTAGAACGAATGCAGTTTGACACCACTTCACCTGCAGTAACCCAATATTATGGAATCATGTGGTTGTAGTTTTCCTAAGTCTTTCACCTTTTCTGCCAAATGGTTCTGGTGTCTCACCAAACTACAGCTCTCAAAATTCCATAGCATCAAGCCATGGCAATTAAAAGTGATGTCAAACTGCATTGATTCTCTGGTGCAGATGCACCCAAAGAGAGTGTGACTGGCCCACATTCACCCAATGGGTTTCCATGGCCAAATATGGCAGTTGCACATATCCCTCAGCTGGGTTTCTCATGGGTGATGTGTTGGGCAGTTTAGATATAAGTATGCTTCGGTGCCCCCAGTGGCACAGCGGGTTAAACCACCGAGCTTACTGACCAAAAATTTGGCAGTTTTAATCCGAGCAGCGGGTGAGCTCCTGCTGCTCGCCCCAGCTTCTGTCAACCTAGCAGTTTGAAAATGTGCAAATGTGAGTAGATCAGTAGGCACTACTTCGGTGGGAAGGTAATGGTACTCCATGCAATAATGTTGACCACATGACCTTGGAGGCATCTACGGACAACACTGGCTCTTCAGCTTAGAAATGGAGATGAGCACCACCCCCCAGAGTTGGACATGATTAGACTTAATGTCAAGGGGAAACCTTAACTTTTACCTTTTATGCTTTGGAAACACATATTTTCCATTAGGATGTCCATAGAATTATAGAATTTGAAGAGACAATAAGAGCCATCCAGTCCAAATGGCATCCAGTCCAAATGTCCAGAACCTTTTTTGATAGCCACAGATGGCATTTCTGATGATTTACAAGTGTGTCCTGCCTCTAGAGTGCTGCCATTATTTATTTATTTATTTATTTATTTATTTATTTATTTATTTATTTATTTATTTATTTACAGTATTAATATTCCACCCTTCTCATACAGGGGACTCAGGATGGATTACAATGTACATATACATGGTAAACATTCAATGCCATAGACACACAACATATAGAGAGAGACACACAGAGGCCATTTAAAATTCCAGCTTCATGAGGGTATTCTGGCCACCAGGGGAGATGTCGGTTCATCATCCATTTCTGACACTGATGGAGTACTCAGAGGCGGCCCTAGGTAATTTTCAATGGTAAGCAAACAGTATTTTGGCGCCCCCCCCCCAAAACCAATCACTATCTATCTATCTATCTATCTATCTATCTATCTATGGGGGCATGGACAAATTTTGGCCCTCCAGGTATTTAGGACTTCCTACTGGCTGTTTGGAATTGTGGGAATTGAAGTCCAAAACACATGGAGGGCTGAAGTTGGCCCATGCCAGCCATACATACACACACACACACATGAGCCATCCCCTGCCACGCGTTGCTGTGATCCAGTCTAGTGATCTTGAAAAGAAAGTAATAAGAAAGTTGGTTTCTAATATATGTAATTTCTTAATGCTTGTGGGTAAATAGTATTTCTTGTTGTTTCTTTGTCAGTGTTGATGTAGTTCCAACACAAAATACTGAAGGGATTTGGGGAAAATAGACTCTGATACTGGAGGGGTTTTGGGGAAACATGTACAATAATTTAGATTTGCAGTACCTTCAGTCACTTCCGTTCATGAAGAAACCTCCTTGCCGCCCTGAGAGGGGTGATGGCACAGCTGCCTGGAGAGGCACTTGCAATGCTGCCCCTCTTCACACAGGAGAAGAGGCCCTGTGCTCCATCGGCTCCTGGGTATGCGCTTTGCATTCTCTTCCCCCACACGCTTTGCAACTCCGGGAGAGGGACACGCGCCGGCATTACCAGGCGCACGGAAAAAGAGCCCTCATGCAGGGAGCATGCTCTCCCTCCATCCTTCCCTCACAAGTGCGCACATTGTCCTCCTCTCCTCCTCCTCCTTGCAGGCCAAGGGAGACAACAACGCCAGTGTGCATCCTTCTCCCAGCGTTAGGAAGTGCATGGAGAAGGAGGGCGATGCAGGGCGCACATTTCCTAATGCCGAGAGAGGGATGCGCAGCGGCATTGCCGGGCACGTGGGAAAAGAGGCCTCGTGCATGCCTCTTTTGTGTTTCATCTTGGGTGCTATCTTGTGTCATTGTGTATGCTATCCCATGATCCCAAACATTTTATTTATTTATTTACAGTATTTGTATACCGCTTTTCGCACCCTCAGTGGTTTACACACTTCTAGTTCAAAGCACTTTGGATCAGGGATACTCAACCTGTATTACATTACAAACTGCTAGACCGGCTGTTAGGTATTGTGGGAGTTGAAGTCCGAAACACCTGGAGGGCTGAAGTTTGCTCTTGCATGTGCTTGACCCAGAAGCAGATGAAGAGCCCTCCTTCCATCCAACTGCCACTGCTTTGGCCTTGGAGAAACAGGTGGCATGTGAAGCCATGGAGCCCTTCCAGACAGGCCCTATGCCGCATTATCACAGGGTGTTTACGCCCTACACCACTGGAAAAATTATACTGCCTAGCCGGTATTGCGCCACCTGACATCTGCCGGGAAGTGGCGGCCAATAGTGAAAGGACCAAGGCAGAGACATCTCCAGCTCATCCCCTGTTTGGGTATCAGCCGGCAC